ATATCCCATCTAACGCTCGGCGCCCAAACTACAGAATGACAGATCCTACCTAGCCTACACTACCGAAGGTGACGTCAACAGTTTCATCGAAGTACGAGCAGATATCAGCCGATGTTGAATGTCTCAGGCACTGCTCGTCTCCTCCAGCACCCACAACCTCGATCCCCCAACACAGACATCTGAAAATAATAATAATAATAATAATAATAATAATAATAATAATAATAATAATAATAATAATAATAATAATAATAACAATAATAATAATAATAATAATGATGCAATGAAAATAAGCAACAGTCAGATGTCAATTCCAGATTACACCACTCTATTGAAGGCCAAATATCGCAGTCTTCAGAGAGCAGCCTTGCACTGAGAATACACCAATGGAGGTTCGTAAGGCTGAAAACCAATGTCCATGGAGAGCATACTCTCTCCTCTCAACACTAAGTCCAGTTCCCTCACACTCACACCCGGCGATCAGTGCCCAACCTACTCCTACACAGCTACTACAGATTACAAAAAAAAAAAAAAGACAATGCGACTAATGACATCAGCGCAGCCCGAAGTACTTGTGGACGCCACCCAGATGCAGACCGTCGCCAATACAGGGTATGTGCCTACACATCATCATCATCATCATCATCATCATCATCATCATCATCATCATCATCGTCATCATCTTCCCTCATCATCATCATCATCATCATCATCATCATCCTTCTCTCTCCCTTCTCTCCATCTCCTCTCTTCCTCACTGATTCCTCTTTCTCCATTTCCTCCGTCTCCATCTTCTTTCTCCATCTTCATTCTCCTTCCCATTTTTTTTCGATATTTCTCCTCTCCTCCTTTCTCTCCCTTCTCCTTTCTCCTATCTTTCTCCCTTCCATCTCTCTTTGATCTTTCTCCTTCCCCCCCTTCTCTCTCCTTCTCCTTTCTATCTCACCTCCGATCTCTATCTTTCTGTTACCTGCCCAGATGGGCGATGTAAACCAAGGATCCGCAATGCGATGTGCGTAATAACCGAGGATCTGCAATGTGACGAAAAGGTCTGAATGGACAATGTGATGCGAATAGGATCTTCAACAAGCCACGCGCATGCACAAATACGTGATGCACGTAATAACCGAGGATCTGCAATGTGATGGAAAGGTCTGAATGAACAACCAGTACTGGTAGAGGAAGAGGCGGCAGACAGGGGAAGGCACCTGAAAGGCCTATGGACTTGACCAGAGAAAGGGAGGAGTGGAAAGAAGATGATGAAGGACTAGAAGAGAAGGACGAAGGATTGAGGGCAAGAAGGTATCGGGAGGAGAGACGCATGCATACCCCAGATCCTGAGGAAATGGCTTATTATTCATATAGGTACGCAAGGCGTTACGGAGAATCTCCACCACGCTTCGAGCCGCCTAGTCGCCCGCATCATAACCCTTACCCATTGTCTCAAGAGAGGCAGCTGACCGTCCTTCCCCTGCCTCACCAACAAGGACCCCGCGAGATACCACACGTACCTGATCCCCCTGTGGTTTCGCAGTCTGCGTCACCTGATAGAAAAATGTGCATATCACTTTTAATGTTTATATTATGTCAAATAGAGATTTGTGGGTTAATATCTTACTTATTGTATAATAAGAAGATTATACAAGTGCCTAAAGGGGTTAGAGAATAAAAGGGAAAACTAGTCAGATCCTAGGGTCGAAAGTTTGCTAGCTAAATAAAAGAGGTGGAGTGTACCGACGAACAGAGGATGGCTTCTGCCCGATATCAAATCACGGTCAGGGAACCCATGCAAATGAGGCGTGGCCTTATGATGAATCTACCAAGTCGCCATGAGGAGAACGAAGAAACAGGATATTGTTGGGGGATTTCTATAGAGGAACAAGCCTTCATCTGGATTGAGTCTGGATGGGTTAGAGGCGAGAATTATGCGGTAGAAGGGGTGACCTTGTATCTCTCATCGGAAAAATTGCAAGCTATCATAATAAATTTAGTCTTGGGAATTGATCGATGTCTTTCCAGACTACTATGGATAGCAGAATCGACGCTCGAATATAGAAGACGAGACGCAAGTCTAAATGGATTGGAGAGAGTTATAGGAACTGTGAGGGTAAGAAGCGCTAACGAATTTCTTCCACCAGCAGCATATCTGAGAGGAATCCTTCATATGTTCATCATAAATGCAGCCTTCGGAGAGAGGTCCCGAGTAGAAAGAGTTGCGGAAGCCGCGATGACAATACCTGAAAGAGAGTACCATGCATCTACCCCTCTGTTGGTATACTACTTATACCTAGAGATAGGGCAAATGATTGAAGGTAGGGATCCACAGGATATACTACCACGAGTCGACTCATATGCACGTCAACACGATTGGGCAAATAGGCATGTCTACGGGAAGGAACTGAGGCAGAGGATCCTCGATCAAATACCATAAGGGGAATGGTGTACTCCGAAAAAACTGAGGGTAACAAAATTGTTAAGAAATAAAAATAAAGTATGTCAATTAAGATTGTGCAGCTACTAAAGAGGGAAAGGTTCTTTCTTTGACTGTTGTAACAAGGGTACCAGATGGCTCCTCTAATGTGGTTCGCTGATCGGAACTTTCTGATCAACCTGCCCAAGCCAAAGGAAGGAGGGGTCGAAATGACACTGCCAAGGAGGACGATAGATGTGGATGAAGAAATGGACTCATGGTGTGGGATACCGCTAGGACAGGAAGCATTCCTTTGGGTAGAAACGGGATGAACTTCGAGAGAGAGGCATGCAATAGTAAGGGTGACCCTTTATCTACCAACCCTTCTCTGGAGGGCGCACGCGATCGACCTTGCCATAGGAGAAAGTCGCCCGATCTCTAAGTACGTTTTAACGGGCGGAATGACCCTTGATGCATTTTCAAGAAGGATGTACTGGGGAGAAGAAGGTCAAGTTATAAAGTCGATTGAAGCGAAGTGGGCCACCGAATTCACATATCCAACGAAGTACGTTAAGGCCACGCTTCCGAATTTCATAATCGACGAAGCATTTTGGAGAATAGATAATGTGGAACGAGAGGTACTCGCAGCCCAATCGGTTCCAGAGATGGCCTTTGAGTTTGAAGCATCAGACATGGTTACCGTTTGTACTTAGAAATGGGCCCAAGACTAAACGAAAAGGACTTCTATAACGTACTATGCGTGGTAAACACGTACCTACGCATCTATCGTTTGGAAAACCTCTCGACATACTGGCACAATCTCTGCCGGGAAGCATGTATCGAAGAATTATAGATGGTATCCCTTCATTATTGGTATGGTTAGAAGCTTTTGGCATGAGAACTGGGTACTCCTAGAAGAAATACTCGGTTAAGAGAAAAGGGGCACAAAGTCACGTAGGATGGTTATATTGAAAGATAGGGGCTAAGAGAAAGTCAAGTTAGTGACAAAAAAATGGTCCAAATGGTCGTTTGTGTGTCTTAACCGGGTCTACAGTCTAGCAGGAACCGGGAAAGAAAAGGGGAACAGAGGAGCGATGCAAGGGCCAATGGAGGGCCGCCAATCACCGCGGCGGAAATCGTTAAGTTACTAGAGAAGAGAACGATAAAGAGGTCTAACTTACCAAGAATAGACATCTTCCCTTTCAAGGGGGATAGGGTGACTCATTGGTTAGAACTACTCGAGCAAATCTTCAACCAGTTGATCCCAACCGAGAAGTTTGCCCAGTTGTACGAATACGTGTGGTGGGAATGCACATCTGACGTGGAAGAGGAAGTGAGAAGGACCAACAATGATTGGGCTGAGTTTAAAAAGGGCATGCAAAAGAAGTTTAAGCTAGGAGATGGTTTGCTCACGATTGATTATCTCTACAACATGAACAGAGACGATTTCACCACGATCAGGGCATTCGCTAACACGCTCGAAAAGACAGCCGAGAGGGTTCCAGGGCTGTCTGAAGAGATGCAATGCGTCATATTTCTAGGAAAATTTTCTGGGTATGAGGCAATGGAGTTGACTCGAGGAGGAGCCACGGGGAGGAAGACAACCTGGGAAACCATAAAGAGGAATATTGCGGCTAGAGACATGGATCAAGTGTTCCATCACCAAATCAAGGTCGAACGAAAGAAAAGAAAGGCGGTAGGGACAATTGAAGGAACGGATAATGTACTCGGATGAGTGTTAAGCGACATGACAAACGAGATAAAAGAACTTAAGGAAAGAGTGACACCAACGAAAGTGCTAACAATGACGCAACCGTCAGGAAAGCGAAGGAAGGAAAAAGAAGATGGAGAAGAAGAGACCGAAGAAGGAGAACCAGAAGAAACGGTCAAACTAACGAAGTACAAGAGGAAGGCTAAGAATATAGCTATCGGAGGACAAGGCTCAAGAAAATGGCAGGTTACTCAGCAAGCGATAGTCCAGTATGGGCAAGAACCGTCAACAAGCACGGCTCGGTATGGATAATGGCCCGTGGGTTTGCCTATGGGAGCATGGCCTGGGTATTTCTTGATAGGGTCATGGCAGTCGCAGGGACCGTATCCTATGTTGCCCCAAAACCAGAATCTGGGAGGACACCAAAGCGCGGGGCAGAGTCAACAAAGCGGGCAAAACCAGCCAGGGTCGAGTCGCCAGGGTGACCAAAACTAGAACAGGTCCCAAGGACAAGGACAAGGACAAGGACGTGGAAGAGGTAGGAACGCTGGAAGAAATCAAGGACCAGGGGAACGAGGAGCAGGAAATAGAGGGAGTGGGTATCAAGGTGGAAACTGGGGGTAGCTCCAAGGGGGTGCAAATCCGGTAGGGCAAGAATATCAGCAAGGGTATGGTCGTGGTTACGACCAGAGCTATGGAAGAGGGTATGGAAGAGGAAATGGACAGTGAAACGGACAGGGGTATGACAGAGGATGGATAGACTACAACGAATGCACTTGTACCCACTGTGGGATCAAAGGACACACGGTAAAGCAATGCCACGTTAGGAAGCTTGATGAACGTGACGGGCTCATAACATCGAACATAGATGGCGAGGTGTTCGGCAGAAGAGGAAAGGTGATTGATCCCGAGATTCCAGGGGGCACAAGAGAAGAGGCTCTTCGTGTGGCCGAACTTGGTCCCAACGCCCCAGGGATGTTTCGAATTTGGCAAGAAAAGGAAGAATCAGTAGTGCGAGTAGAAGATATAACTGACTTGGAAGAAAATGTGAGCAGGATGGGGATTGGAGAAAACGAAAAAGATGTGTCACTTGTAGAAGCAGAGGAGGAAGACGTTAGGGTTAACATCAGGGATACGTTTGATAGGATGGAAGACCTAGTGGACAAGATGCAAAGGCTGCATCTAAGACTTCAAGGGATATGTGAAGAAGCTGGGAAGAAAGGAGTTGGATGCCCAAAGGTATTTACCATGGGACGTGGAGGAACAGGTGAAGGACCGAATGAGCCCAATCCAAGGATGTTGAGGGCCAATATGGCCTCAAGGAACAACGGGGGTCAAAGAAGTGTAAGAGGTACGATTCCATTCGCTACAAGGAAGCCCGCAAGAGGTAATCCTCCAAAGGAGCAAGCACAGGCTTCCCAGCCAGCAGAGGAAGAACCGCCTATCATGGTAGAGGGTGACGAAGACGGGGATGACAAAATTAGGGAGGAAGAAGAAAGGCAGGTGGAGATCAGGGCTAAGAGAAGGAAAGGTAAGGTTAAGGAAGGAAGGTCTAAAAAGGATGAAGCGCCCAACAAGAAGAGGAAATACCAAACTTCAGTCTGGTGAATAAATTGTTAGAAGGTCACAATGAACTGTTAAATCTCAAATAAATCATCGCTTCGGCTCCTTAGCTAAGGGAGATGGTGAAGGCAAGGTTATCACGCCGAAGAGTAGCCTCAGTCCGGATGGGGGACCTGATTCCCAAAGAAGCAAACTGGAGCGTGGCAGGGAGTAAAATGGACTGGAAGTTCGTAGGGACAGGGTCCATTGACGTCATGATAAAAGGGAAGATGTGTCCTGGGATACCGGGGCTGAAATAAACATTATAAACGGAGAAACCGCGGTGAGACTAGGGCTGGAGGTTAATGAAAATGACTGCGGGTTTCCTAATGGAGCCAACTGCAAGACCGGATACACGGGGGTCGCGTCGAATGTGGTGATAGAGATAGGAAGAGTTAAGGTACGTACGTGTTTCTACGTCATGCCCAACTTGGATCTCCCAATATTATTGGGCAAATCATTCTTGTGCAGGTCCGAGTCGCTCATAATGAACAAGCATGATAGCACGATGTTCGTTATCTTGTGTGATCCCGCCTGTGGAAACTTTGAGGTTATCATTTATAGGAACACAGGCCCGCACAGCTCGAAGAACAGACTTAATGTCGGATCCTACACATTCGAGGAGTCGGAGAATAGGAGGAGAGAACTGGAGTGGGAAGAAGACGAAGAAGAGTTAGATAATAAAAAAGATAAAGGGCTAGTACTGAGCCTGACTAATATCAATGATGCAGTGGAACTGGTATCGGCCTATAGGATGGCTGATCCGGATGCCGTCAGAGCGCTCGCGGAAAGAATCCAAGATGATCCAGAAGGAGGGAGGGTTGATCTTGTCTATCGACCGCCTCCTTCTTCTCAAGTGATAGTGCCGCATGCGCCAAATGCTCAAGCTGCAGGTCAGCATTTTTTAAGGGTGGGCTCAAGCAGGGCTCCAAAAGGAGGTACAAGACGGTAAATAAGAAGAGTCACCCTGTGCCAGTCCTAGTGAGTCGGAAAGAAGGCGTATATTATGAACAAAAAGGAGAGTTGATACAGCGAATGAGGGAAGGTATTCAGAATGAGCCTTGTCGCATCAACAAAGAGACTGAGAAGAATTTGATAATAGGAGAACCTGGGTTTCTGACAAGGCAAGAGGAGGACTTGGTGAAAGAGCTGGTACGAGAAAAGCATGGGGCATATGCCTTTAACGATGATCAACGTGGGAGGTTGGATGTGGACAAGATAGAGATGATCCGCATTCATACCGTACCTCATGAACCGTGGAATGTTCGAGGAGCTAAGTGTCCCAACCCTGAAGACCGCAGGAAGGTGGCAGAGTACCTAGATGGGAAAATCCGCACGGATGTTGCTGGGTACTCCAGTGGACCATACGCGTCTCCTTGGTTTTGTTTTGTAAAACCAAATGGGGTACTCAGATGGGTACAAGACCTCCAACAGCTGAACGCAGTAACCGTAAGGGATGCTGGAGGACTGCCTAATGCTGACCAACTGTCAGAAGCTTGCGGAGGGAGGTCGATTGTGTCACTTATCGATTTCTACTCCGGGTATGATCAATTTTCAGTCTATCCGGCAGACCGTCCCATCACGGCAATGCGCACGCCTATGGGGTCTGGTCCATATGAATGTTGCACCCCAAGGGTGGACCAACGTTGTAACCATGGTGCAACGAAGTATGATCAGGGTAATGCAGCCAATCAGCCCTCAAATCACCGATCCATACATAGACGATCTTGCAGTTAAGGGCCCGTTTGAGAAGGATGAGTCAGAGATGGCTCCAGGGGTGAGAAGGTTTGTATGGGAACATGTTCAAGGATTGAGAGAAGTCCTAACGTTACTAGAAGAGTACAACCTCACCGCCAGTGGAGTGAAGTCGAGGCATTGCGTAAAGAAGGTAACCATTCTGGGATACATTTGCAACGAACATGGTCGACGGCCTGATAAGAAGAAGACTAATAAAATCTTGGAATGACCCACTCCCTTCAGAAATGTGGGTGAAGTTCGAAGCTTCCTTGGTAACTGTGGGTTTTGGAGGAGATTCATAGAAAGATTTGTTAGCAAAACAGAGCATCTAAGGAAGCTAGTCCGGAAGGATCAGGAATGGGAATGGGGAAACCATCAGGAAGAAGTGGTGGAGGAATTGAAGAAGGAATTCAGAGAAGGAGGTCTGGTATTGAGGGTACCAAACTTTGACGCAACTATGGAACGACTTTTCATAGTTGAAACTGATGCTGGGCCAACCGCCCTGGGTGGCGTTTTGATTCAGGCAGACAACGAAGGGAAGGAAAAGCCGATGAGGTTTGAAAGTCGGACGCTTAGCTCGACAGAAAGGAATTATTCGCAATTCAAAAGGGAAGCCTTGGCGGTCCTGCATTGCCTAAGAATCTTTAGGCATTACCTCTTTGGGAGGAGGTTTGTCCTCAGGATTGATCCGACGGCACTTGCGTACTCGCTCAAGAATTTTTCGCCCTCATACCCGACCATAGCCAGATGGCTTACCTATATCTGGATGTTCGACTTCCAGTTGGAACGTATCCCTGGGAATAAGAATAGGGCGGATGACATGAGCAGAATTGAGTGGGGGAACCAGGAAAAAGTTAAGCAAGAAACGTCTCACGTAGATGGATTTTTGGAAGAATGAGAAGACATGCGGGCTCATGTGAACTGTTGGTTCATGTTCGTCGAAAGTAAGAAAATGAGGAGAGGGAATCCGATGTGGCATCCACCTCCCGAATTCATGAGGGAACCTTCCCTGATACTCACGCCGTTAGTAGAGGAGGACTCATGGGGTGAGAGGAATGCAGAATGGATGATGGAACTAGCTTTGGCAGAAAACTATAGGATGTTGGATGAGCCGCGAACGATCGAAGCAGGAATCCAACAGGCTGACGAGCAAGTGGCCATGATGGGGAGAATGTATTACCTAACGAACTCCCTATTGCAAGTTCAAATGAATGATGAAAGAGGAATGGTGAAGGCCGACGAAATAGTGATTGGGAATGATTACGAATTTGATGAAGGGAAGGAAGGTGAATTTGAGCAGGAGGAGATCTCAGAGGAATTAAGGAAGGAAGAGTATGATAAATTTTATCTGGAAATGGGGTTGCTCCTTTTAGGAGATAAAAGAGAGAGAGAAGTGAGTGAAAAGACTCTCAGGATGAGGGATCATTATGTGGTAAGAGGTGGACACTTATTCATTAGGGACAAGAGGGGGCCGCCGCGACGGGTTGTATGTGGAGGAAACCGTCAGATTGATGTCGTGGCCGCATTGCATGATGGTATAGTTGGGGGACACAGAAGCTTCGCTGCGACTTATAAAAAGGCGATGAAACTTTATTATTGGGAAGGGATGTTTGAAATGACTCGAAAGTACTGTGAGTCATGTGTGCCCTGTCAAGTACGATCACCTATCAGGTACAAAGAACCTCTGCATCCTAGATATATCAAGGAAGTAGGGGCGGTTGTTCACCTGGATCTACTAGTTATGCCACTGGGTCTTGGATGATATAACTATATATTTGACGCAAGGGACAACCTTACTGGATTCGCTAATGGCAGAGCGATCAGAAATAAGACTGGAGCAACACTGGCGGATTGCATTAAAGAATACTATCTCAGATATCCGTTCGTATTGGAATTTACAATGGACAGGGGGTCAGAGTTCACATGTGGGGAAGTGAAGGAGCTGCTGAAGGAATTGGGGGTCATAGGTAACTATACGACCCGGACTCATCCACAGGCGAATGCACCGGTCGAGAGAGGCCATAGTACGATTACTAACTTACTGGTCAAATGGACCAATTGAAAACCGAATCTCCGACCAAAGTTTCTAAGAACATTGTTCTTTGTGGAGAATATTACTGTAAGAAGGACGACTGGGTACGCACAGATAATGCTCTGGTATGGTTGTCACGCCACGTTTCCAATTGAAAGTTTCCTCAAAACTTGGCGCAGGTAGGACTTGGAAAACAACTTGACCTTGGAGGAACTGCTAGATCTGAGGGCAAGACGGATCAGCGCCACTGAGGAGAGGGCTCAGGAAGCGGCCATGCAGGTTACAGATAGCTGAGGAAGAGATAAGGAAAGATGGGACAAGCTGCCAAGAGTGAGACTCGAGCCTCTGCAAGTTGGCGAGACAGTGCTACTCTACGATTCCTCTTTGAAAATGCAGTAAACTGGACAAATGTTGGCTTGGACCGTTCAAAGTCAGGAAGCAGGGACTTCATGGGGCCTATGAGCTAGAAGAGATGGATGAGACTCCAAGGAAGGACTGGGTTTCGGGATCCAGATTAAAGAAGTTCCAAATCAGAGAAGAGGTGATCCCAACTATGATGAAGAGAGTCTGAATAGACTGGGGAAGTGACTATGCATATATGTGTGTATCAGTACCTATGCATGTATGTACCCAAGTGCCTAAGCATATACTCATACATGTGTGAATACATATATACATATATATATGTGTGTATATGTATACGTGCATGAATATGAAGGGTATAGTGGGAATGTACATGTATATGCACACGCAAGTATATATATATATATATATATATGTATATATATATATAGGTATATATATATATCTATATGTGTATATGTGCGTGCATGTGAGTACCAGATAACGAGAGCATTGTCAAACTTATGTTTAAAGAGAGGTGTTGCCTTGATGATGATCTGATCCTTGTACCTGTCTTTGCTCCTTCTCTGTGTGCAGGCGTGACCCTTGGGGAGAAGAGGCCATGGCGCAGAGAGGAGGGAGGGCAGGACCCTCTGGACCTACCTTGAGAAGGAGCGGGCACAGGAGGGATCAGACAGTCTCAAGGAACCTAGAGGAGTTGCCCATTTACAGGGTCGGGGACAACTTGCGAATATTCTTAAGAGACCTTGGGGAGTATGCGTTCAGGAGAGAATGGGGTGACAAGGAGAAACTCGCGAATGTGACTGGGGCAGGAATGTACAAGAAAAGGATTGAAGGAGTGGTGGCAGGATGCACAAGGTGGAGAGCATGCAAGGTGAGATTGTGGAAGGACATGGGGGCCTACCCAAGGGACGACGTTGAAGATGACTTGAGATTCGATGGAACAAATCTGGAGGACTTCATCGACATTTTGCAGTTGGCCGCTGAGAGGGGGGAATGGAGTGAAGAAGAGAAGAAGAAACAGTTGATCGCGAGAACAGAAAAGAGTGAGAAGGAGGAAGTAAAGGGGATCGTGGAAGGGAGTCGAACCTGGCAGAGAATAACGACAGAATTGGGGATATCATATACCGAGGTGAGACAGGATCAGACAAGGAAGGAAGGGTTGCAGGAAAAAGGGTTGTGGATTGGAAGAGAGATGGATGACCCGCAGGGGAAGGAGACAGAGGGTGAAGAGGAGGATGATGTGCCTTTGAAAAGTTTGAGGAACAAGGCGAGGGTCGCCCCCAAGAGCAGCAACAAGGGGTCTGACCGAGCAGGGGGAGATGAACAGAAAGAGGGGAAGGCAGCAGAAATGAGAGGGAGAAGCATGAAGGCAAGTGTGGCACCAAGGGAAAGGAGGACTGAAGAGAAAAAACCGATTGAGATTGGAAAGAAAGGGGTACAGGAAAGGAGGAGTGAGAAGGAAGGAGGGGCAAAGGAGACAGGAGAAGGAAATGAGCTCCAGAAAGGAAGCCAGACTCCAAGGGATGAAAGAACTGAAGGAAAAGGGCCGATTGGAGACGAAGAAGGGAAGGAAGAAGAGAAGGGTGAAAAGGAAGGGAGGATAACAGAAGACAAAGAAGAGGAAGTTGGAGCAGGAGAGAGGGGGGTGGAGTGTGGTGAGCCATCCCAGTTGAGAGAAGAACAGGTAAGTAAGGTGGAAAAGGCTCAAAAGGACAGGAAGAGGAAAGGATGGAGGAATTATATGATCAGGATGCTGCCGGATGATGACCTGCCAGTGAACTCCATATGGGATGTCAGATTTGAGAGGATGCTCTTCTCAGAGCTGGTGATAAGTTCAAAGCACTCAACTAACTTGCAGAAGATGATGGAGCTGCACGAGATGTTGGATGAAAAGTGCACCAGGCTCTTCGAAGATTACGCTGAGGTTGTCAGGAAGATGGGGAAGATGGAAAGGGAAGGTGGAATGAAAGAGGTTGGGGAAGACCTGGACACAGTAGGGAAAGGACTCCTGGCAGACCTCAGGGGCAGCACTGAACTCTTCACTCAAGGATTCTTGGATTACATCCCTGAGCTCTTGAAGGAGATGAGCAGGCTAAGAAAGAAGGAAGGAGAGAGAGATACCCAGGTGGCAAAGTTGATAGGAGACATGGAAGGGATGAGGAAGGAAGTGGAAGAGCTGAAGAAGGGAAAGGAGTAGTTGCAGAAACAAGTGAGCACCTTGAGGGCCGCCCTGACTATGAAAGGCAGAGAGTTGGAGGATGAAGCAGCTGCAAGAGGAAGGGTGGAGAAGAAGGTGGAAGGTCTGTGCTCTGAGGTCAACGTGCAAGGACAGGACCTGGGTCAACGTGCAAGGACAAGACCTGGACACTGAAATCTCAGAGAGAAAGAAGTTGGGACAAGATTGGGAGAAAAGATGGGGTGAAATATTGAAGGGAATGGAAGAGCTCAAATTGAGTCATCAGGAGAAGAGGGATGAAACCACGAAAGTGGTGGAAAGGCAGGAGGAGGGAGGACTTGAACTCGGACTGGCAGAAACAGGAGAAAGGGTCCCTCCGTCTAAGGAAGAAAGAGGAGAGGTGGATGAGCTGACTGAGGCTGGGAGAGGAGGACCATCTAGCAAAGAGCCTCAAGAAGAACCCAGAGTTGATGTACCATCTGCCCCACTGGAAGACAAAGGTGTAAGTTTGGGCATGCCTCAGCAGAAGAGCAGAAGAGGAGTGGGCAACTTGGCGTGGAAGGGGCAGAGAGTCAGGCTGAAACATCGAGTAGACCGCTGCCCAAAAGAGTCAGACATAACAAGGACCAAAATGGATGCTTCTTTTGTACAGAGGAGGGTCATTTCAGGGATAGTTGTATTGTACTGACTGAGTATATTAGGAGAGGGATGGTCAGACTTGACTTGAGAGGGATTTGAGTGGATGATTGTTGTTGGTTTCAGACAAGCAAAAAAGTCAATAAAATATTTATTTCATTTAAAAATAATGGTTTTTTTTTTATATAATACAAATGACCCCGAGGTGCGTGCCTTACCGAGCTATGATCAAAGACTTGGAAGGCACAACCCTGAGTGGCAGCCTGACGATTGCTCAATTTATTAAAATCTCATTTATTTGGTTTATTTAAAAGGCATAGTTCATCCATTTCAATGGTTAACCTGAGGGCATAAATTACCAAGCCTATGGTGGAAAATTGGCATCGTTGGGACGTAATTCACAGTGTGGGCTGCTGACCTAGCATAACCGGGCAGCATACCCTTCGACTATGGCCTAGAAGAGGGACTAGAGGGGATGGCCACCCTAGTGAAGGGACCTATTCAGGTGGGTCTCGAAGGGGTCAAGATTAGTCTTGAAATTTATATTTTGAAAAGATAGGATGATTAACCCATCGTTGCGCAACCAACGGGGGTAACATCCAATAAACAACAACGTGGTGGCCGCAGCCCCAGCCTGATCAGCAGGACTGTGGTGGGTCATGATGGAGACCGCTGCCCTCTTGTATTAGGCTTCGGGCAGGATAACATGCAACTTTGGACAATTAATATCAAGAGTTGAAAAGACCAAGGTCTCGGTCAGGACCCGCGTTTGACGGGATGAGTTCGTACGCGAACACCAACCCCGAAAACAACCAACGAACACCTAGATCGAAAGTCTAAGGGAGTGGGGAAAAGAAAGGCGCGTTGTCATACTTAACTATTTCATATACTGTAGTACAGATCAAGTATCCCCACTTCAAGTCATTCAGTTATTTTATAATGTGGGAGACCCATGTTAAAATCCCGGCAGTAGTAATGAAATGTGAGCTGACGACATCAATCCTGAACAACATCTCATCCCAGGATTCGGATTTGACGAATTGCTTGTCGAAATCCTTCTATTGTTTGCATATAGTTTTCCGGGCGACGGGGACGTCTCTTAATGAGGTTTGGGATACTGTCGGACCAAATACCCTTACAAGGGTATTTGGCCATGCTTTTGCATTCGACACGGTGACGGCATCGGCTACCATGATGAAGCCAGTCTAGAATGGAAAGGATGTGTACGCTCGAGCTTGACGCTCGAAGCGAAATCCTTGGCCAATGAAGCCGGGGCGAATCGGTGAGAAAATCTCGAAAGTATGAGCGTGCGTTATTATGACGCGCGCTGTGATGGCTAAGATCAGTAGTAATATCCCTCGACAGAAGAGGTCGAGGAGTCAGGTGGGTTAATGATGTGTCAGGTAGATCTACGATACGCACTGAGACTTTGTCTAGTACCTGTCTGTCTTCTGGTACCAAGTGTTCTAAAATTTTCGGCTTTTGTCCTCCCCTACTCGGCCTCCGAGTCGAGTACCGCCGCATCTACCTCGATGTGGCGTGGCACCGACCTACCTGCTACTTGAATGTTGTCCGTCGCACTTAAGGTGTAACGGACCTATTTTCCTGCCACTTGAGTGTTTTCCCGTCGCGACCTCGAATGTCGCGGCCATAGTTAGGCACCGGCCTACCCGCCACTAGAATGTTTCCCCGCCACGACCTTCCAATGGCGCGGCCACATCTAAGTACCGACCCTTTGAGCTTTCCATTGAATCAAGTGCCTCGTGGGGCGCGCACGCTCACAAAACCAACAGGTGCTCATGCAGGCACACAACCTAGCGAAAAGGGCACGCCCATAGGCTTAGAGAACGGGATCATATGAAATCTTGATGCCCTACATATATCTGAGTAGCTCCTCTCTTAAACAAAGTAGGAGCTAGCTTAGTAGGTTTAGGTGTAGGGTTGTTAAGAGTGGGGTATAGGGAACGAACCCGACCGGTCCTAAGCTAGCTCCTTTTATGAAGGAGCTCCGCAACTTTTTTTCATCAGAGCTTAGGCAGTCGGGACTCGAACCCGCAACCTTCGGATTATGATTAGTTAGACTAGGCCATGAACAGTGGACACAAAGAATTAGTTAGATTTTGGTTTCTAGATTTGTTACCTTTTCTGTCGTAAGTCTCTAGTAAATTCACTAAGTGAACCTACCCCGAAATCAAGGCAGTTTTGGATGGTCGGAACCGCGAAGGACTTGGCCGACTACGGGCGACATCGCGTAGACCCGATACTAGGGGAAGGGGGAAAGAGGAGAAGGGGCTAAGGAGAGAGAAAAGTGAAGAAAAGCGACCGAGAATAGAGAGAGATATTGCGAGTGAGTCGATGAGCGGGAGATTCACGAGGAAAGAGAGAAAGCGGAAGAATGAGAGGAGGAGAAAGTGGAAGAGGAAGGAAAACTGGAGAGAAGACTTACCCGACGACCAGCCAGCTCATCAAAAAGGGGTGTGTGCACGACGTAGGCTCGAGGCAACGTGCGACGCCGCGAGCGAGTGCGTGATCACGGGCGACGACCGGGCAGTGAGCGCAGGGTAAAGCGCTCGAACGAGAGGGTAGGCAAGATAGCGAGAGTGCGCAGGTTGATGCAATCACGAACAGGAAAGGCGAACGACTATCGAGCTAAAGATTGAGTGAGGAGGTAGAGAAAAGGGAGAAGGGAGAAAGAAGGAGAGAAGAGAAAAGGAAAGAGACCACTCACCTCGCCCTTACTCAGCGAAGCTCCGAGCGTAGGAGTCGGGGCTTTACATTTGAAGAATAAGAGGCCCTCTACACTCGCTTCGAGTAGTCTCGGGTTGCGAGGAAAGCAGGCAAGCTGGTTACGGTGGCGACAACTGGGGAGCAAGAGAAGATAATCGGGTAAGTCCCCTTCCTCGCGGCCAATCCCCGATGCTTCCTCGATAGTATGAGCGGAACAAACAAATAAATAAACAAATAAATAAATAAATAAATAAATAAATAAATAAATAAATAAATCAAATGGACCTATCGCTACAACATGGGGACGTACACTACTGTGTGTGAGTGAGAGAGAGAGTGAGAGAGAGTTCTTCTTCTTCCTCCTCTCAGTCCACCATCTTCTCCTCCCCCTCTCAACATCTGACTTTGCAGCAGTGCTCGCAATCTGTGTGTATGTTGCAAACTGCATCCGACCCAAATCTGGTATGCAAAAAAAACTACAATTGTACCCAGCCCCAACTGCAAACAAAGATTTTGGCCAGCCGTCCAAACTGGATAGCTGTTTTTTGCAGATTTTCCAAACTGCACCTGACCCAACCAGAAACCTGAAAAATTAGCCAACTGCAGCCAGCCAGACCAGGACCCAATTTAATGCCACTCTGGCTGCCCAGACTGAAATAAAGTTGTAGGCCTATCTGCAGCCAGTGGCAATAATTTTCTGCTCTGCCCAGGTACATTTTTCCTTTGTTTTGTTTTGTTTTCTTTGTGAACTGAAAATTCAAATGAACATCATTATTTAGAAGCAATGCGCGCACCAGCGTGGTACGCCCTGTCCCCCTCTCTCTCTCTCTGAGGATGAACCTACTATTCCTGTCCTGCCAGTTTGCCACCCGCCAGCTTACTGAGCTTAGGGGCTTCACAATTTTGAAGTTTGTCTGCTAGCTGCCCCAAGGACGTTTCCCACCCACACAAAGTCGATGTGACACTCAGACATCTCACAC